CTTGTAATTATTTCTCCTATTGGTTTGTATGGTCTAATATAAAATTTTGATTATATAAATGAGTATTTACATAAATTGTGGGCACATGACAAGCCAAGTGAAAGCCCCAAATTGAGTCTTTAGGTGACAGTTTTTCGGTTCTCTCATGATATATGAAGATTAAGGCGTTCAAATACGACTTTTAATAAAGTATTATAAAGAAATGTTGACAGGCAAAATAAGAGAATAAACATAAGCTTTCTGTATAAGCACAATTAAAGGAGGAAGTTGAGAATACCAGATAAAAAGTGCCATATATCTTACTTAAATTATGTGCATTGATCTAGGTAATTTGAATTCTGCTTAGGCCAGCTAGCTCAAATCAATATATAAGCCACATTCAAGACGGAATCAATTAGTCACAATGTAGCAGCAGCTGCCAAATATTGAGTGAAAGAGAAAAGCCTGCCTTATCTTTTATCTAAGGTATCCCAGGCTGGTTCTTAAAATAGCCGTACAGCTAGTGAGCCTAAACCCTTGGCTAGAATGTATTGAAAATCGATGGGTTATGCATGCATGAGAAAGTAAGGACTAATCAATATGCACTTGAAGGAGGTCGAATTGTCTAGATAGGTGATAGTATGTAAGTTTTCGTCATGAACTTTCCAAACTATATCTATACGAAAGGGCGGTGCAATAGTTAGATAACATTTTAGCAATGAGCCTAGTTGCTTGAAATGTGATCAAGAAATCTAAACTCATGACTAGAGATGCACTTTGGATAGATATGACATATACGACAGATGGCATCTCGGAAGAAGAAAGCTCGATAACCAAGAATTTCTAACAAAATTATTAGGTTTGAAAGTATTTGTATTTAATTGAATTTTATATTACCCAAAAATAACACATAGAAAAAGGTAATCGCTTAGGTCTACTGAGCACTATATTCGAGTGAGGTCACTATTTCTAAATAAGACGAGTTGCTGGCTTTTTGAATATTATTTTTCGTATGTAAGTAGTTTTGAGACTACAAGTAAATCAGTAATATGAAATGTATTCACCTTATTTCGTTTAAGGTGATGAAGGACTGGTAGTAGAATTTTCCCACAATGATATGGGTAGAGCTGACGTTTCCATTGAATTTAGCATAGCCATGTTTTCCCAAGAGTTGTTCTAATCAAGAGTGGACTGCAGTTTCGAACTCGCATAGGTCTTATCAACACCCCCAGTAGGAGTCGAACTGTGACGGTGCAGCATGTGAGCTTGGCACGTTAACCACTCAGCCACATTGCCACGATGCCTTTGTGTCATAAGTCAGATGTAAATTTCAAGGAAGGCCAAGCCATATCCATATACATAATTTGTTTCATCGACAATCCCACGTGTCAAGCCCACATACCGACTGTCACGGTTCGAGTCCCACTGGGGGTATTGCGAGATTGAAACTGCAGTCCACCCTGAATGAGAACAACTTTTGGGAAAGCAAGGCTATGTTGAATTCTATGAAAACTTCAGCTCTAATAATATCAGTGAGAAAATTCTACTATCAGTCCTTCATCAACTTAAACGAAATAGGGTGAATATATCTCATATTTATGAATATGAGCCTTAAGTTGAATAAGCAAAACTGGTAAAAAAGTTCAGGACCATATAATCTTTAAAGAGGTAAAATATAATTGTATATCTGTAAGCAACATCAATAGCTAAGCAGTTTACGGCTTTGCAATATAACCGAATGACATTCTATGAAGAAAAGTTACTAAAGAGGAGTAAATATAAATATAATAAAAAGATGAAGTAGAGCCTTGCTTGATAGAATTCTGATGCAAAGTAGGAAGCCGAGAACCAGCATTGTTTAAAGTAGCGAAGCGATCAATATCCCGGAATTTCCGCATAGCCGTCATTTTGCTGTCTCCTCGTGACTCATTTTTGGAGTCGAGCTTTTTTAGAAACAAATGAGCGAATTAATGGAGATGTGCAGGACAAAGTGAATTAGACAGAACGTGTGTAAGAACTTAAAATAGTAAAATAGAATTAAGTAAGCTAATATATTCAAAGCCGAATTATTTTTTATATGCAAATAGAGATATTACTAGAACCAATGCATATTAACAAATCAAAGCAAAATTTAAAAATTATATTTATTTTAAAATTAAGTCCAAAATTGTTCGCAGTCAACTTGAAAAATAAGGCTAAGATATTAGGACGAAACTCACAGACTGAATGAACTGAATTCCACTAGTTAGTGCAGAATAACTAAATACCATTGGATGGCAATCATGCCCAGCAGCACAGAAAAAAGAATCCGAAATCCAGCTACATGTGGTTAGGGGAAGATGTGTTAAGCGAAGACTGACAACTAAGGCAGGACGGTTTGTGTCTCCTGAGCCTCCACCAGCCGTTGAATCGGCAATCATAACTCGCGAATTGTGACTGAGCCAGACCAATCTTTTGCCATCGGGAGAGAATGAAACACTGTGCACCCAGCCTAAAAATTTGGAAAGCAAATATTGGAGTAAAACATGTATACTTGCTTGATGTGTCTCAATTAACTCATTTGATAGGAAGCTAAGCTGCAACCGTGTAATTGTCAAGGTTAAATATATATAAGCAAATATGCTCTCCAATTATACACATATTGAATCGAGTTGCGATTAAGATCAAAACATAAGTGCATCAGAGTGAATATACGCAATATTTATTTGCACAAAAGCGCAGAACTCTTAGCCTTCAAGATAGTTCTAGAATAAAGGTGTATGTACAAACGGGTTTTATTAATATAAATGTGAGTTTGAATTGAAGAGAAAAAAGGAACAAGCTAGTAGATAAACTGATCGACAAAATTACAACACGTGGAACAAATCCGACAGGCATGGGAGCAAAAATTTATAATCACTTCCAACTTTATTTACAGAAAACAATAAATGTCTCAAGTGACACATTTAAGATCAAACAATATATATCTATTGAAAGATAAAGGAAAAATGATATAAGTAATTTATCAAGGAAGTGATTAATGGGCAGTGAAATTTCGTATACAATACTAGAAGCAGGAAGGTTCTATATGAACTATATCAAAGAAACTAAGTGCCACAAATATATATGTAATCTGACACTACCAGTTAATTGGGTTTAAATGAGTTTAATATAATTAAAATGGATAAAAAATCGATGTCTATGCATAAATACACATTCGAACTGAGTATGAGCAAAATTGGGGCGCCGAATGCCATTTGTAATATAGGTATAAATAAAAACCTTGTGCTAAATTTACCATCACCATTTGATGCCTCAAACAATAAAGTTTGGAAAACAGAGGTCTTGCCCCACTCTGTTTCGGAAACAATAACATCGAGACCCTTTATTTGAGCGGCAAAAACTCGAACACGGAAATCTGTAGAACCGCAAGCAACAATAGCATTATTTGGGTGCCAATCAACGCAAGTAACGGTTGATCTAATTGGCTTTTTAATGTGCTTGCTAATCCACCAATCCTGCCGGTCGTCAAAGAAACAAACAGCGATTAATTTCGAGCCACTTCCGACTGCAAATTTATTTTCTAAAGGAGACCACCTCACACAAAGTGCAGCTCTATTAATCTAAAACTAATGAATAAATACAAACGTGCCTGGAGCATGACAAAGGTAGGCTTCCATTTCCCATCGGCTTGTTTTGTCCAGACATAAGCATTCCGATCGGCGGAACACGAAACAATCCTATCACTTTTGGGAGCCCAGTCTAAATTCATAACTAGGGAAGTATGCTCTTTGAGTACGTCAGTGAGCTGAAACTTTTCGCCTGGACTAGATGGACAACTTAGTATATATACGTCGTTTGTGTTAACCGAAACAGCCATTTCAGTGCCGGAGCTGTTAAATGCATGACTTACAAGAGCATCATTGGCAATTAAGTATGGAACAGCCATTTTAACAGAAATAGTAAGGAATCATAAAAATCGCATGAATAGAACGCAAGAAGTACAACGCATGGAGGAAGATCTATAGAGATCAACGTCAGAGAGCGCGCGTTAATAGCCTTCAACTTAACAATACAGCAATTTTAATATATAGGAGCCCAAAATAAACACAATATTCTAAAAAATATTCATTTAATTTATTTAAATAAATATTTTATTCGTATACAAATTATTTATAGTAATTTTATGTAAATATATATGTCCCTTTAAAGTTCAAAGCGAGTATTGAAATGAGGCTTATTGCCTCATTTTTATTAGTATAACATTTTTGGATTTAATATAGGCTTGATCTGCCTCTAGTATCCACGATCATTTCCAGCATCGGACCGTTGGCCTGATACATTTCCTAACGTTTCTTCTGCATCGTTAATACAGAGCTACAACTTATCATAATGGCAAGTGCAAGCAATCCTCTTCACCAATTTTATGTCTAACCGTTTCGGCATATCCATTCCCACCTGTACCATCTTGTATCGCTGCTTCTACATGAAGTTGCTAAAACGGCTAAACAAAAGATTTGCCATAGGGATTGCCTTTACTTGTCACTGACAATATGTAACGGTGCGCTAAGCATAACGCCTCTCACCGATCTTATCGGTGAAACATTAGAGAACGTACCAAGTCAACGTTCCGATGCCGGAAATATCATGAATAGTATTGCAAGGAAACAGGACTAGGTACATTCCAGTAAGAGCTTAGTCTCCCTAGGTCGTATACAGTGGCTTAGGGACTGATATTTAGGTTTTATCACAATGAGATGAACAGACCTCAAATGACAATTGAAGTTCCCTTCGCTTTATCTGGCAAAAGGCCATTTTATCAAGTGAGACTTCAGTTTCGATCTTGCCTAGGTCTGATCAGCTGTTACTCAAGAACCGTTAATAGTCAAATATAAGTT